GATAAGAAAAACCCGACAATATGACAATACAGGGGAAAGAGATTAACTTTATGTAACATTGTAGAATTTAAACAAGCATTAGTTTCCCCTTTTCCACTTGTTAGAACCTGTAAATATTTTACCCTTTTGAAACGGGTTGCTGTATCAAATAGCTACAGCTAACAAACTTGTTTTGTTCAGGCACACCATGCTGCATGTTGGCTGGTTCTGATTGGCTACCTGCTGGATTTGGCAGATGGAGCAGTTGCCAGGCGACTCGATGCCTGCTCTGCACTGGGTAAGTGAGTGAGGGAGTGTTTCGGTCAAAAGCTCTTACCAAAGATAAACTTCAACTGGGATCTTGGCAGGGCTTGCTGCACAGTCCTTTATCTGGACTTTGTAATTTGGCTGCACAAAGTCATAAACAAAGGCAACCAGTGAAAGGAAACACTGCTACTGAAATACTCTGGCTAGTCTTACAAAGTCTGCAAGAGAAGAATCATACATATTTTATGTAATGTAATTTGAGCTTTATCAAATTAGTCTTCTAGCTGTATATTTCAATGGTCTCTGGAGGTTATACACTTAAGGGTTGAGTGTGAATAGCATAACATCCCCTTTCATCACCCAATGCAAATACACAGCATATAAATTGTACACTGTGGCTTGTTTTCAAAAGATCTCAGCACTTATGTAGTAAATCAAGAGGCACAAATAGCTGGTTTAACATTGCTTCCATTGCGAAAGTTCACATTTTCTCCGAAGCCCAAAATAGCTCCCAGGTGCATCACAATATATCATTGGCTGCACTTTTCGCTGGGCTTTGTGTCCCGACAGGGTTTTTCTGCATGACTTTGCAGGTGGATGTTGTTGTGCCCCCACGTATTTTGTGAAATGAACAATCACTTTCTGATTAAGCAGCCTAATTCCACGGGCTCACGCTCCAATTGTCTATTTTATCCCGTTGCTTTGGGTTCTCTGCATATCTGAAATTGCTAAAATTGTTGACCCTGAGCTGTGGAATTCCACCTCGTTCATGGCCTGAATCACCTCATCCTCATGTGCTAAAAACATGCTCCGTGCTCCTGAGGGGATAAAGAGACAAGGCAGTGGAGAATGTTGTTTACAGAAAGCCTGCCGTTGGGCTGACACTGAAATTTCCACTTGGAGAATTTTACACATACAATCCCACTGTCACCTGTCAGTAATATTGGCAGTGACCATTCTGGAGAGATGGTAACATACCTTCACTGGCTTTGATAAAATATAAACTCATGACTAAGGCACTGTTGAAAGGCAGCTGGTGCTCACTTGTAGCCTTTCTAAAGTAGATATTCAGAATATTTTTAGTACGGGTAGTGTCTGTCAACAATACCAATACAATTCATATCTCTTTGTGAACTTCACAGAGCCACATTTAGTATTCATATTTTTATTTTCATGTTCAGGTGCCAAGCTAGATGATTTTGCTGACTTCACGACCTTCGGGATTGCCACGTCGTTGCTCCTAAGGACACCTGACCTGGGACAACATCCTCTGCATGTGTTATGTCCTGTCTGTTTTTGTTCGCCTCTGTTTCTTCTAGCGGTAAGTTCCAAAATGTACTTATTTTAAGCTGCACATTGAGTCTGTCATTTAAATTCCACTTTATTATTTAAATGACTAACCAGAGATTTTCTTGTTTGGTCCTCAGGGATCCCATTCATGTATCGCGGCCTGCCTGCATCTACTCCTCAGCCATCCTGGCCAGTGCCTCTCTGCTGTCAGGGGGAAACATGGCCTTGCTGCGGGTCATTGCAATGGCCATGATCCTCTTTATGATCAGTCAGAACTTCACCCCCATGACAGAGTGCTGGAGTCCCAGGCCTGGAAGAAAGCAGTCTATGCTGGAGGTAAAGTCACTATGATTCATCTTTTTTGAACAAGAACATGTCTGCTGAGGTTAATCACTGCCAGAGTTGATTCATTATAGAAAGCAATTTCAAATTAGATTTCAGGTACAACATCTAGCATGTGGTAGCAGTATCTACCCATGTAGATAGTTTTGGTTTTATTTGTAGAGGTCCGACCTACCACCACCACAGTACAATCAAAGTGAGTAGAATATAAATTGTGCTGCTCAAACAAGCATGAAATTAAATTTGACCCACTCAACAGCAATGCATTTTTCTTGCAACAATGTTTCTTTCTTAACTCAGCATAATAAGAAGTCAATGCAAGCTGTGTTCAAGTGGATTATTTGTAGCTATGCTAGTGTCATTGATCTAGGGAAAGCAACGTTATCAATCTCTAGGTGGTCGGGCGGTTGGTCTACCACTTTGATCCAGACTGGACCAACATATAATCATGGTGCCCAGAGGATGAATCCTCATGAATCTGGTGACCCCAGGATGTTTTCATTTAACACCTATAGTACTTGATGCTTTGGGGAAAATGTTCCCTGAGGTTCCCTGATAACCTTTAATCTAGAGTTACATCAGATTACTTTTTATGCAAAACTAATCACATTCCATCAACCTCAGCTGTACTTGGTTTAGTGCTAATCCACAAATGTTAGCATTATCATTGTCAACATGTTAGCATGCTGACATAACATTTAGTGCAAAGGACTGTTGTATGTATGTACTGCCTTATAGCCGGTAGTGTGACTAGCCGTTTTGTATGTAGTTTTAAGGAAAACTGTACATAGTTTTTGGATTTTTGGTTTTTGGATTATCATAAGTAATCTGCAATACATGCTGCTGTTGAGTTTTCAAATGTAATTATTTAAATTATTTTTTTACTCAACGTTTTTATTTCCAGGAGTCATCATGGTGTTCTGCTCTTCATTCCCCCCTGCATGTGTCTACTACTGCTGTGGTCTGTCTCCTACATATTGTTCCAACATCCCTTTGGAGCAGTAAAGTGTAAAAGGGGTTCTGGCTTTTTCCAAAACTCCAAATAGGTTAACCTCTGGCACATCTGGGTGGACTGAGGCTTCCTGCCATGGAGGATCCAAGCTGAACATGCTCATGCGCCACAGGCAAACACTCGCTCTATTTAACCTTTTTTTAATGTGACATCTCTAAAACAGAACTCAGATTCAAGAGAGTTAGAGTGAGGTATGAGAAGGGCATTTTAGTGTTACTGGTAAGGATGAACCTTCATTCTGTCTTATGTTTCATTGCATTTTCACTGAAGCCAGTGGTTGGGTGGCTTGTTCTAAAACTGAATTTTCATAAGGATTATCTGTATAATCTTCATACTTTCATCATTGTTCAGTCACCACATGGAAGCAGGGCTCATAATTTTCTCCAGGAATAAATAAACAGAAAGGATTTCAAATGAAATAATTACCTGAAATTCATATATATTGTCTCTAATTTGGTTTTTAAATGTTTTGTAATCACACAGGACATCACAACTCTTAATATGTCCTCAGTATTGAGCTTAGCTCAATGTGTAACTACAGTATGTAGGTAAGGCATTTAATCTATGAATATACATTATTTCTAAGATGATTATCAATAACACAGTAATTCATACAGCACTAATGACCAGTCTTGTGTTAGCTGACTGTCAGTTAATGGTTGTATCGGTTTTGGGGTCACTTCATTATCAAAGCATTCAGGTGAGGATGGGCATTTCCCAAAATCCACTTTTCCTTTTGTCCAATTTGTATCAAATCCAGTCATTTACAGTAAGAAACTTTCCAACATGATGATACAGTCATTCCTGTTATTTGATTTGCTGTTTGAATATATGTTTGAAGTAAGTTGAATTGAAAGGCAACTGATCCCCCGGTTTTGGTGCATTCTGGACTGATTTTTAGTTTTTTAGACTTTTAGCTTTTTACCAAGTTGTACTCTGTCCAAGAAACAATTTTGATTTACATATTTCTTTATGTGTGATTTTATTGGTCATTGTATGTGTTCCCTCTGTTTTAAGAGGAATTGCAGTTTAAATACTAAATCCGCACTGGATCACATCTCATAGTAGTCCTGTGACCACAGCTGAATCAGTGGTGTCACTGCAGGTGTTTCCATCACTTGTCAAACCACCAGTGATATCAGTCACGGATGTTGACCAGAAATGCAATACTAAATAGGACTGCAGCAGCAGTTTTCTTCCACATGTGATTCAGTGTGAATTTACCTTTGAAGAACAACAACACACTGGCTGCAAATCCTGCTTTTGCTGCCATCTAGTGGGGGAAAGTTCACCACGCTGCAAGGTCTGCTTGCACCTTTTAAATGTTTTGAATCACACTGCACCACAGTCAATGTTGGTTTTGCTAACAAATGCACCAGACAACCGAAACTTTAAACCCTCAGACATCAAAAAGGAGAGGATACGTGTGTGTTACTCTTTAACTTGGCCAGCATTCAGTCCATTTTGTAGATTAGTCATTTTTTAAGGAAACCTTTCTGGCATTACTCATCATGTTTCACAATGTGGATTGTCTCTCTGCATAGGAAGTGACAACTGGGGAGAATATAGTTTTATAAGACTTTGTGTAGAATATGATGAAGCAAATAGCACAGAGTAACGGGCTTTATCTGTTCTCAACACTAAAAGCTACTGATGCCCCATATTTAAATTTTGACTCACTCCACACCTTCTGAAATCTTTTAAACTTGTAACCAGAGGTGTCAGAGCTGTTAATGAGTTATCTAAATGAGTCTCCTCGCCAGAGCTTTCTGAGGGAAAACTGACCAGAATTTCATAAATCAAGTAAATGAATACAATGGTCATGTTCTGGTTTGATAATGATTTTAAACCACTAATGACAACCAATGTTGTGAAAAAATCTACTGTGTAAAGTGCATGCACAGACTGAACACAAATCTTGCACATTCAGCTTTTCTGTGTGGGTGTTTTGGTTTTCAAATTGTAAAGTCCCAGTAATGCATGCCAAGAGCATTATAGATACAACAAGTGTACTTTGCCCAATGAAAAAAAGATCTTAATGAATAAGATCTGTGCTTCTGAGTCTACATTTATTGCATAAAGAGGTAATTATAAAATGACTTGATTTCAGTGTCCTTAATACATCACCATCAGTGTTTGACTGTAATACTGTGAAGTTACATAGTTATTTTTAACTTGTTGGAGGGTTACCAATAAACCAATTCAGTGGTAGACATTTACCAGTAATGGATGTGACATTGCATTCTGAGTTTTATATACAGTCTATGATTCTGAGAGATAATCACACGTGATATGTTGGTCATTTCCTGTTAGCCATAGTGTTGCCATTATTTGGTAGCATGTGAGCCTATGACAGCAGTCCTGCCTTTCTGTTATACTCAAGTATGTCTATGTTCTCAGGAACACATATGGCTTCTGTAGACGCTAGATGCAGTGAGGACTCCAACAGCTTTATGATGGCCGAGAATGCAGGTCGATCTTTGAAACTCCACATCCAACAGTACTTCATCAGATCATACCTAAAAGCATACAAAAGTAATGTAAAACTAAGACATTTGTTAAAAGAACAGTTCTGCATTTTGTAAGCTTAGCTTAGTCCAAGATAAAATCAATCTGCCTAATAGCACCTCTAATTACCTAAGCTAACCGGCTGCTGGCTGTAGCCTCATCTACAGGCAGACAAAAGAGTGATATCGATCTTCTCATCTAAACCTTTGCAAGAAAGTGAAAAGGGCTTGATTCCCAAAATGTCTTTCTTCATCATTCAAAAAGAGTATTTGAATGAAAATGAAACTTTCACGAGTATAAGTTGACTCAATTTCTAATACTACACCAAGAGACAGTATATTACACCATGTCAAGTGGGCCTATTTCCTACACAAGTTTACTTACAAAGGTCCTCCACAATTGTCTGGTCTCTTCATCCGATAAGACCCCTGTAGCTTTGGAAGCACAGAAGGGGTCTCCATGTCAGGGTATGGAGGAGAGCCTGAAACAAAAACAAACAAGCAATTGTTGAATAAATAAATGTGACTTTAATGGCAATGGGTGACACTGATGATAGTGTCTATCCAATACTACAAATTGTAGAAATCCGTATTTTAAATAAGCTAATCTGAAATGGCAGAAATACTGACAGTTTAAAGAAGTTGCTGATAGATAACAGAACATGCAGCTTTACCTAAGGTAATCAGTTCATACAGTAAGATTCCAAATGACCACCTAGGGAAAATAAAATGTTAACAAATGCTCTGTAATAGTCAAGCAATAGCAAAAAGAGATTACATTGCTGGCAAAACAACACATTCTAGGTGTGTGTGTTTCGTTTTCTTAGCCATAACTCTGCCCTTACACGTCGCTCCTGTCGATACTGAGCTGCATCATAATCCTCTCCGGAGCCTGCCATTTGAGAGGCACCTCGCTGCTCTCTGCCTAATTGCTGAATCCATTCTGCGTCCTCGAAATGCCACACCCAGCCCAGACACCCGGGCTGAGAGGCCGGGGCCAATTAAGATGTTCCTGGCAGCAACATCACCATGCACCAGCCTGTGCTCTGACATCAGGTAATCCTGAGGGAGGAGACAATTACAGCTAAACACATCAGTCTTTGGTTGAAATATTCATTTAAAATTCTAGAGAAACTACACTTTTCCCCTAGTACATGAGTTCATGACCTGCTGTGGTACAGAAGTACATCTGCAATAGAGCAAGATATTTATATTGAGCTCATCTTAGTCTAGTTGTTTGTTTGGAATAATTGTTTTAAAAAAGTGACTCACCAGCCCAGCTGCAACCTGCTTTGCTACCAGAAAAACTGACCTCTCAGAGAAGTTCAGCGAAAATCCGCTGTGTTCTACAGGAAAAAAAAATTGCTGTCATGACATTTAGGAATTGGAGATTGCATGTATCATCAAATACAAGTTCATGTTCAAACAAAAGCTGTCTTACATTTCTGAGTGTCCAGAGGAAGTAAAGGAGGTTCCCTGGGCTGTACGCATCTAAGACCAGATACATGGGCACACGCTTGGTTTGACAGTACAACATCCGCACCACATTCTCATGTTTACACACTGTGGCATGGAAGAGGACCCACTCCACAAACTCCTTAGCTTCAGGTTGGTTGGGGCCTTCTATATGGTGTTATATTAGTAACAGAGGTACAGAGGAGTCAAATAATAACAATTTACTCTATCTATATCATCTGGCTCATCTAGCCCCACTCCATCTGAAACACCAATGATTATTTGCATACTTTCACTCTTATTCCAAGCGAAATAAGACAGATTAATACTGTACCTCGGAGGGTCTTAACCACTACAGCAGAAAAAGGATCCATCTCTCTTTTCAGCAGACCTTTACAAACAGGGCCATGGCGACCTGTCTGCCAAACTCTAGTCCCTCAACAACACACTCCTCAGGGATTTCCCAGGGATACAAAGCAGCCTGGACCTTTGGAGTGCTTACAGAAGCAGCCGTTAGGGACACAATCTGCTGGCCTGTTGAAAAACCCAACCAGAGATAAATAACACCTGGCATTCCTCTCAGGCACTAATGCATTTTTGTTATATAGAGAATACACATTAATTGCAATTCATACCATTTGTAAACTGGGCTGAAGTGCTTTGTCCTCTTTGTTTGTTCTTGTGGAGACTGTAGAAAATCAGAGCCACCACTAAAACTGTGCTCAGAGCCAACAGACATGGGATGATAATTATAGCAAGTGGACCTGATGACCCCTCATCTAAATAAGACATGAAAGAAGAATCAGGTTCAGAATGAGAAAAACCGAAGAGGAGCAGGCAATAACACAAGTTTGCAATGCATTAAGTGCCATGTGTACAACTTACAGCACATAGGGAGCGAGGTATCGTTACTACATCCATGAGGAGTAACCGACATTTCTCACATATGAGATATGAACAGAAAAATCAACAGAAATTCAAAAGTCACCACCAGACAAGCTTATCCCTGTGTTGAGAATAATGGTTGAAAAATCACACTAACAGGGCTTCTATCAGGTACTTTAATTTGGGCTTAGCTTTGTCTGTCAGCCTGCAAGGGCGCTGACCGTAGAGCTGAGCTAGAAAGTTGACTGAATGTTAATCATTAACAGTTTACCAAAATGATAACATTAACAGGTGTCGTTCTCACACTTACTGCTGCCTTAAAGGGTAACTGATTAAACTGTGAAACTGTAATATGCATACTATAGTGTTAAGTTTAGTTTGTTTTTAGGACCCATATAAAAAATTTGGCTCTGGCTCACAAGGCAATGAACAGAATAGCTAAGCATCATCAAAACAGGTACAATGAAGGCAAAATATGGCAACTTTATTTGTACATTTTGTACACCAGGGCAGTTCAATGTGCTTTACAGGTACAAAACAAACAAACAGAAAGTGTAAAATATTTGAAATTTTTGTGGACAAGTGAAAGTTTCCTTGTACTGTAAGTGTATCTGAGGAAATTTAATTTTATAGTAGTACAGTGGCACGTGTTGATGATAGGTGCTTGAACTATTACAACCACCAGAGGGCAGGATTGCGCAAGAAATCGCCTCCAACGAGTAACCTCCTCAGTTCTGAGAACACAAGGAGGTTGCCAGTGTCCAAACGCATCCCACGGACCCAAAACCACACAATAAAGCCCAAGAACTACGTATAATGTTCTGCCAGCTGTATAAAGAACACATAGAAATCGGCACAAACTGTAGAGAATATGCCGAACTTACAATACTCTCCACGTGAAAATATGCGTCCCAGTGCCCAGTGCTTCTCAACCACAAAGATCCGCCTCTTGCCATACACTATTGGCGCAATGGAGAGGCTTTAGGACCGGCCCCAAATCTCTGATTGGACAGAAGCCCCTGCAGCGAGGAAAGAAACACGGAAAAGATCAAAAAAGTTATGGAGTGAAACCTAATCGGATCACGTCTGTTCCATGATGCTGCGTAGTTTTTAGTAGCAACAAATCCCCGCAGTGCCTCTGGAGTAGCAGTGAAGAGCGCCGAGCGCGTAACGGAGAAAAAGAGGCAGGGTTTCAGTTTTGAAAGGATCAGATAACCGCCGGGTTCAGAGCAGGGCCAGGTATGTTTTTCCGTTTCCATGGACTGCCTTGCTGATGTCACAGCGAAGGAGGGCCGGAGAGGAGGACAGGTGCGCAGAGTAAAGTTGTGTCTCCTGTACGCTTGGATGAGGAGCTGTCACAGAGCAGAGAATTAATACCCAACAGCTGATAAATATTTTAGTCTAGTCAGTTTTTAAGTTTTTCTGTATTTGTAAAACTCTATTCTGGTTCATTTGTATCAATTTGGTCTGTTCTGAAGTTAAGTGGAATATATGCTATAGTTCTCCACGCTTTTGGAATTGAGACGCTCTCTGGTGCGCACAGACTGCGAGACTCACAGGATCCGTTCTGCTCTATAATATAGGGTTTAACGGCGTAAAGGAAGCTGCTATTGTTTTTTAAGTGCACATTGCTGTGAACTGGGTGTGTGGGACCGAGACGCTCCAGCATCAGAACCAGCACTTTCCGCTTCAATGCGACACTGACGCAGCTGGTCTCGCATCCCGGTCCGCAGTCGACAGGTGATGCTCGAGTAGGTTCAATGGAATGATCGATCATCAACAGAGCGAGTTTGATCTAAAAAAAATACATATTTTCTCTGGAATGGAATACAACACAAGAAAGCAGCCTCAACTTCTCTAATCTGCAATGATTTTCCCGTGCGTCATTGTGTCCTAGGATCAGAAGCGGTTCTTGCGTTGAAGGACAATCGTTCTTGGACTTCCCTCCAGGTATACAGGAGCGAGCCTATCAACAATGTCCAAGACACTGAAAAAGAAGAAGCACTGGTCCACTAAAGTACAGGAGTGCACCGTGTCGTGGGTGGGTTCCGGGGAGTTGGTCACGGTAGTTGAGGTGCGAGGCGGCGCTGAGCTGGGAGAGTTCCCACACCTCGGAAACATAGTTTCGGAGGCGATGGTTTGTCACGCTGGGAGGTTTCCCAGCAGCGGGGACGTTCTGCTGGAGGTGAACGGCACTCCTGTGAGCGGACTCACCAACCGAGACACATTGGCGGTCATCCGCCACTTTCGGGAGCCCATCCGCATGAAGATTGTGAAACCAGGTGTGTGTCTATTCTAATTATGGATCACCTAGACCCCCTACACCCCTCCAGCTCCCTACCCCACATACACAACCTAACCTGCCATGTGTGTGAAGTGCTTTAAAATGGTTTGTTTAAGCACGGTAACGTGAAGATTGAGAATCTTAGGACAGGTGTGACCAAATATAGAGGCACTCAGCTGAGCCCACGTTTGCCTGTAGGGCAATGGGTTGAAGGTCCAGGTGTGTTAGCAGTCTTGTTATTTTGAAGCTAATGTACAGGTCATTTTGTGTTTTCAGCTGCCCTAAGCCTATTTAAATTGTCTATGTGCATTCCTTCTATTCATTAATGTGAAGCCACTTTTGCTGCAGTAGTACAATCCTGCCCAGCAGCATAAGTGAGGGACATGCTGCTTTAACCATGCTTGTTTAGTGCCCAGACCTGCATGCACTACAACATAAGCCATGCACATGTTATTAAGCTTGCAGCACTTTCTCTGAACTGAGTCTGTAATCTTCATTGCATCCGTGCACAAATGTTGCCTGTCCTCCTCTGACCATGTAGGTAGTAGGGCAACATGCTCACATAGTCATCACACACACAGGCATGAAGACACACACACCACACACACACACTACTTTAATGTAATTAATAAGTAATGTAATTCTGTCTGTAAGCTCAGCTGAAAGCTTATTGATTGGATTTATGTGATTGTTATTAATACAAGCAATTAGTTTGTACTTTTTTAAGGCACACTGACATGCCTAATGAATTTAATAAATGTGCCAAAACATACTGACATTGAAACTCTGCCAGTGTGTATGTTTGTGTGGATAGAGGCACTGTTGAGGGTGGCACTTGGTAAACACTTTGCAGGGATTTGTTAATGGTTGCCTTGCCAGCTTAGACAGTGTCGCTCTGCTTGCAGTGTTGAGGTGAGTCCAAGTCTAATTGAATCAATTAGGTTTATATCCTTAAATCCCCCAGGATGCTGAGCTAGCCTAGTGACACAGTCTGACACCATGACTGTCAGGGATTTTTGTTTGATAGTGTTTTCTGTGAAGCGGATTGGTGCTTCTGCAGTGCAGTTTACCTGTTGATTAGGGTTAAGGGGTGTACGGGTGTTGAAATCAATATCACAATACTAATTAATTGGTTTCACTTTTTAACATAAGATGACACCAGATTTTTCACTAATTGTAGCACTTCAAACATATATTGCAGGTGATTTGAATTTGATAATGTTATATCAGTTATATTGTTTTACTCTTGTTTGTTTTCCTTGTGTTTGGACATTAGAATCAAGTTCAAAAGTGCATTTTCTCAGTTCCATAATACTCACTCTGTCACACACTTTCTAATGTTTTCTCTTGACCTTGTGTTATGTAATGTTAGCTGTATGTTGAGTGATGCTCGAGTTACACTTTGACATCTGCAGGTTGGTTACCATAGGCTCCTCTGTTCCCCAGTGGGCCTCGCTGTGTGTTTATCTCTCTCTCCCCTTTCTCATTTTTAATTCATGCATCATCCATTATTGATGGCTGCTCTGTGCCATGATGAGGTGGCTGGTGGGCGGATCAGATGTTAGCCGACTCGTGTGGATGTAAACTTGAACTCTCATGAGATTGCAAAGTCGGTAGTGAGAACGGGTTTGATGCTAAGAGTAGTGGAGTTAAATCCTTTTGTAGACTTGTCACGGCACAGTGGTGTGTGTGTTCCTTGTATTTGCACAACACAGCAAAAAAGTTACATCAACCTAAAAGGGATGCATTTACATAATTTCATGTCTCCCTGTTGGATTGTTCCCTCCCTCCCTGCTGTCTTTACTTTATTTTCTCCCCTCAGCCGATAATGCCTTATCATCACATTTTGCTGTTCTCCCTCACCGCTGATATTTTCTTTCCTTTGCTACATTATTCTGTTTCACTCCGATTCTCTTGCCTTTGCCTTCGTACCCTTCCTCCCAATCCTATGCCATCACCAGTATACTATTTTTTTCACTAGCTACTTTATCATCTAAGTAAATCTAGCAAATCTTTATAAAATTGCACAACCTTTCTTCAGAATCTAGCCCACTTTTAGTAAATTCCACTGAAGGGAGTCATTTCACTTACCTGCCATGACGTTTACACCCGCCGAGTCTAAATCAAACACGATTTTGCTTCTTCATAGTTGCTGAAACGTCTCGACACTGCACAGTTAAGACAGAAAACAGGAAGTTTGTCTGGATTGGTTCTCTGGCTCCAGATCAGCCGATGCACTCAGTATGCAGTACCCATCCTGAGAGAGGAGCAAGACAATAGGCAGTAACCTTGAGGGGGCCACTGAGAGTAGAGGCGTAGTGATCACAGATACCTGCAGCTTAGACAATTGCGAGTGGGCAACTCATTGATTAATGCTGTAAACAGACTTAGATCTGCTTGTTTTTACCTCGTGGAGCATAATGAATGGACAGTTAAGCTTTCAGGTCCCTGAGCACCCTTATTCACATAATGGAATCTGGGAAAGGAAAAGGGTTATCAAACCCTTTTTCTTCTCAAACATAACTAATGATATACTGAGATGACTATGGTTTACATTTTACAGTGCTACTCCCTGTGGAGTTATAGACTGAAAAAATATTTAGAAAAAATGTCAACTGTGGGGATAAATGCACTCTAATGCTCAACAGTATAAGCTATAGTGGCTTTATGAGCGTACCTCACTGCTTTAATGTAAAGGTCCCATTCATTTAATTTATACACACGCTTAATGACGCCAGCGTACATTAAAGTAGGGCAGTGATCGTCTTGTGAAGCTGTGTAAATGAAGGTGCAGTGGATGTCTACTAAAGGAAAAAGAAGTAAAGTTTTTATGGATATTTTTATTTTCAGTAATATTAATTTTGTATTCAAAAGATCAGGGAGGTTCAGTTAAGAGTCTTGAAAATCCCCAGGAACCTTCTAGCTACAGAGGAGCATTTTTATTTCGAGTGGACATTAGGAACACAGC